CATTGATTTTAATAACACTTTAAACTACTAATGGCTCAGATTTTGACACATAATGGAGTGTCAAACTTGTTGTACACTTAAGTGTTGTACAGAAAGTCTAAACAAGACGAAGCGCCTCTCCCATGTTATAGAAGGCTAGCTAGAGGTCAAATAAAGGGGCTCGATGAAGCTACGTATAGAAGTAAGTCTAAACTTATGACTAGAAAGTGCTCAACCAAGCATTAGCGTGTTCACATCCTGTTAGTGTATGTTACATCCAAAATTTGAGAGATGCGACATAAGAGTGTTCAGACAATTACAGCAGCGCACCGTCCATCCAAATTTCAAAGAAATCATACAGCTTAGTGAAATATAGTAGTTCACTAAAAGAGAAAAGGCAGCCCCAATGCATATTCCTACTCACTCAAATTACATATCCCATTATTCAAATCAACAGTCATATTTGCCTCCCGCCACCTATCTAACTCAAGATACCGAAAAGAGAGATATTTATCATTGGAAAAATCACCATTCTAAAATGGCCACGGCCTCCAAGTCTTAACCTCACAGTTGCCTTTTCATGGAGTACCCTATGCCATTTTATTGACATATCAACCCTCAACAAGAGTACTGTAAATACTCTAACAGAGAATATTAAGTAAAGCTTGAGTTAATGACAAAATTCACCGATTGCTGCATTAGAAAGTAGAAGAATTAAAGAGTTCAATTATTAGATTTTCCATTGCACAAGGTAAAAAATAGTTTCCTGTCAGAGTATAGATTCTCCAAGACCATCAACTTTACATACATAGCAATTAAGGAACATGATACAATTTGTTGAAGCCAAACATTTTCTCAAAACATTAAGCTTGCCCAAGCACCAATGAAAGCAAATCCCCCAAAGGGGGCGAGTTTAGAGTATGTCCTGTCTTCTAAGTATGCAACTGTGTAACACCTGCAAACCAAAACAAGCATTTGGTTTCACAATCTCAATTCTACTAGTTATATCAAGATTATTAACAACAGTATTTTCAATAAGTAATACAATTCAATGGGCAATTTAAGTGCTCAATTTTTTTGCAATTATTTACCGTATCCAACAATGCCATTTTGATCAATGAGCATCAAGAAGGGCATTCCAAGGGAAAGGAATTTTGTACAGATTTACCCATGAGCAAATATAAAATAGAACAATTACATAATCTGATGCAGTTCTATTGCTCAAACCTGAATTCTATTCCATTAAGTACTTCAAATATTTCAAGAAGAATCACTTCCACAGAGACTTCAATTTTATTTTAGATAACAATCAAAGTTAGTTTTAATAAGACGATAATTTTTAAGGTTGACAAAAATTTGGAATTTAATGTTAAGGAATATTCGAGAAATAAGCCAACCACGATAAGCACACGTCAGGATATGAAAGTCAAGCTAATGGAAGTGTCAGTAGAATCATCATTATTGGCCAGGACTTTAATTTTCAAGTAAAATTTATCAAAGTTGACATTCCAATAGGGGAAAAATGTGATATAAGCTAACAGAACAAAAAGTGTGATATTGACCAACAAAACAAGAACAAGTATTCCATTGTGTGTATTGAATCATAGTTCCATTGTATCCTCACATCAAATAGTTCCAAGACAAGCTTCTGCTGATATTTATAGCAACTCACGAATTTTGGTATCCCTTCTACTCAATCTTTCTCACAGTTAACAAGCAGAATAGAAATAGTTGCAGTGAGTTTCCTTTGGTACTAACCTCGCCAATTTTCATTGAGTTGTTGAAAAAAGGACACTCAACTAGACTTGATTTCTAGTCCACTTTATCAAAGAACTAAGAAATGTTTAGTGGAATTTAATTTTACAATGATGCAGAACTTTCAAGTATTGCTTTATCGGATTGAGTGATTGAATACTCTTCCAATAATGCTTTAATATTTCAAAATCTAAATAATAGATTTCATCTAGTATTTTTCTTCCACTTCCAATTTTTCCTACATTTTCAAAACAACTGCAATACAGAATTCATGATTCAATGGAGTTGAGATCTGCACTTGAATTTGTTGTCACCCAATTAATTATTGACACTTCATTTTAAATTAACGCGTAATCAATTTGGTGGATTAGTGGTGACGTTAAAGAACGTAAATTTGAGATGACATGTTAATTTAAAAATAATGTGTCAATAATTAATTGGGTGGACGGAAAAAATTTGACAGCAGATGTCAACTCGATTCGATGATGCTACAATGAAGTAAATATAGGGAAATAGATACTTACGTCCCAGAGAAAGCCAGGATTCCAACAGTCAAAAGGCTTCCATACTACAAAACACACAAACAACAACAATGCTAAAGTTATCAAGAAATAACGTCGAAACAGGCATCTCAAATCAGAATTAATGAACACTCACAATGTTTGGGTGGCTTGTAATAGGGGCAGCAACCAGGGCCGCCGTGTGAACCAAATGATACAGAGATGCTGTGTGCCATACCTTAAAAAGGGGACCATTTCGCACTTTTACAACCAAATAATTGAAAATACCATTTCAATTTCCTTATTATTATTTTTTCATTAAAATAGTAAAAAAAAGAGAAATATAGACATTGAAAGAAACCTCTTTGTAAGAAGGATTTTTGGGCTTGAAAGCGTGGGCACCGTATGTTCCCAAGCCAAGAGCCGCTATACCTGTGAATTTTCTCCAACCAAAACACGAAAATTAATAACAATTGATTTCCCTGAAGTCGTACATCATGAACAAAACGAAAACAACAATCAAGAGTAGTACAAAAGGGGGCAAATGAATTAAGTTTATCGATTTCAAAAAAAAAAAAAAAAAACATAGAAAGAAGAGCAATTGAGAAAACTACCAGAGATTGCAGCGACTTTGTGCCAGATACGAGGATCCATTTGAGTGCCCGTTTGGTCAATCCTTCTGCTTTAACCCTTTTTATACCTCCACAGCTTTTTCAGTGTTCAAATTTTAAGGGAAGAAAATAGCAGTAGAAAAGTATCATTTTCTTATCCAAATATTTGTTTTGTTAGCAATTGAGTCCTCAATCTATTTTTTTCCCATTGGGTTTAAATAAAAAACAAAGATTAGGTACCGATTTGATATTAGTTAAATATATTGGGGACTAATAATGAAACTTTCCCCTAGCTATTTATTAGCTGTGAGCCTCTTCCGCCTTCATCATCCTCCTGTGGCTTCACGAACGAACACACAGCAAATTTGTATGATGGGTTCGAATAGCAAAGTTCTTTTAGACTTGGAGGACAATAATAAGACTATCAACTCGTCAACCTCTTGCTTAGGTTTCTTCTATCTCTCTTTTGAGATTTTGTGAGTTCTTTTTTTTTTCTGTGGTTTTTTGGGTATTAATGTTCTTTATTGCAGAGTCAAAACTTCAATTTTGCGGCAAAGATGATGTCCTTTTTCGGTCTGGAACTACCAAAATAAATCCTCCTCAGCAGAAGCCTATAATTTGTCCTCCTCCCAAGAGCAATGGTAAAATTAAACCTGATTCCCTTTTTCTTTCCTTTCAATGTAGCTGTTTTGTTTTCCATAGTTTTTTTTTTATTTTTGATAAGTAGATTCGCCATCCATGTTTTGTACATGGGTTCTGAAACTTTTGGTGTATTAACTGAAACAATGTTTTCAATTGTAAATTTAGTGCTGGCAAAGCAAATATACCTAAATACATATACTTTATTCTGCAAGGATGAAACTGGGACGCAAATTTCCTAATTTAATGACTAATGGACTCTGTTTTGTAGCATTGATCGGATTATGATTTAGATCTGATAATTTTAAGAAGTGTATTTCATTTCATGGAACTGCTCTAACTAGCTGGTATAATTAGATATGCCATGAGAGCCTCACTCCTGCACAAATTACTAGCCTTTTTCTTATACCCCTGCCTTTCCATATTGCCTTGACTGGCTCTGATAGCGTTGCTTTCCCGAGTGATAATTATACTTGAATATGCCATTCTCTTCAGAGCTTTGATGATGTTAAAAAGTTTCAATAGCCTCAGCTACATGCCGAATTCGTTTAGCTTTGTTACTTCACTAATATGCTTTTAGTGCTCATTGTAAGACTAGCCATATAGCTGAAGTTACCCTTCCCATGAGCACATAATAGTTGTTTTCCAATTCTACTTGTGTATTTGCTACGATAGGTTAACTTACATTGGCTGTTAACATTTCTTTATTGTTTAGATGGTCTAATATTGTCCTCCCTACTCTTCGAGATTAATAAATATGATGGAAGGGCATATATTGAAATGCACCAGCATAAAGCATAGCCTTAAGAGTGTGCCTTGCGTGCGTGAGGCTTTATTTGAGAGTCTCTTCTCAAAATGTAACGCCCCAAAATTTCACAAACTGGAGTGTTACTAAAAATTCAATTTCTTTGTGGAACGATAGAATAATATTCTTTAAATAAAAATAACTGAAATATTCATAATGAAAACATAATCACAAATTAAATAACAGTCTTTGAACAAATTAAACTGACTAATAATTTAAAGAAAAAAATAAACTCAATGTTTTATCTCTTCGATTCCTCTTGACAATCGCATCACCATCCCGCCACTGTTCCAATCGACCCGAACTAACCTTTAAAATTTTGTAAAAGTGAATATTTAAAAATACTTAGTAAGTCCATGCATAATAATATGCAATAAAATAAATACTTTATATCACTCTTCTCTTATGAAGTATATTGGTGACCAAGCGACACACCCATCTTAGGTCATCTTAAATTCCCGTAGGATCTCATATATCTTAATAAAGGACCCGAAGGTCCACTGGCAATTCATGCATAAAGTATTGGATATAAAAGCATAAAGAAACGAATAACTTGTACAAAAGTATCTTACCTTGATTGATCAAACGAGCTTTTGAAAAAAAAAAATATACTAGAAATTTACAGCTGCTTTATATGAAAACTACCGTATAAATATTTTTGGTGGTGAATTGTGGGANACATCCACGATTATAAAAAAAAATAGTGGTTGAGTCTTGGTATAATTAGGATGGAAAAATCGTATTTATCAAATTTGATAAGAATTGAATTTTTAGTAAACAAATCATAATATGACATGTGTACATAATACTTATCACGATAAAAAGTGATTCTAATTCCAATACGTGATAGTAATGACAACTTTTGACTTCAAATAAAATTCTAATCAAATAAAATATTATCCCACATCCATTCCTTAGATACACGTGGCTAGCCTTCATCCAAATTCAATTTGATTTAAAAAAATAAATAAATTACAATTTTTTTTGATCCAAAGTGCAACATGATGCATAGGGGTGAATGTCTCTTCGGGAGAAATGTGTGCTATCGATGCAGCAAAACATGTCATGTTTCCAAAAATTGCAAAGAAGACCCTTTGAGGAAGAACGATGAGGAAGAAAAGAAGGGAAATGCTCGAGTTTTTGCTTTAGCTCAGGAATAGGCAACAAAAGACTCGAACGCAAGTAATTTCGAGATGGAATTCTTTTAAGGAGGGGAGACTGTGACGCTCGAAAATTTTAGAATAGAATTTAATTATTTTACATGTTATATTTTTTTTATTTTGAAAAGTTGAGGACTAAGGTGATGTATGTGTGCATCAAACTTTGGGCTAAATATTTAGATATTGTTAAAAGCGACAAAAAGGATATCAATATGGAGCTCGTTGGATAGCTCGTAATTAATCATGTATTAAAGCGACGAAAAATATATCAATATGGGGATCGTTGTATAGCTCGTAATTAATTATATAAAATAAGATAGAAAAAAAGTTAATTCGGATAAGTTAATCTTGAAGTTCAAAGAAAGTTTAATTAATTTATTTATTTTTTAAATCAAATTGAATTTGGATGAGGGATTGCCACGTGTATCTAATGAATGAATGTGGGATAATTTTTTATTTTCTTAGAATTATTTGAAGTCGAAAGTTGCCATCACTATCACGTATCGGGATTAGAATCACTTTTTGTTGTGATAAGTATTATGTACACGTCATATTGTGATTTGTTTACTAAAAATTCAATTCTTATCCAAGTTGATACATACAATTTTTACATACTAATTGCACTCAACCACTATATTTTTTATTATAAATAGTGTGCAATTGCCCTACAATTCACCACCAAAGAATTTTACACGGCAGCTTTCATATAAAACAGTTGTAAATTTCTAGTATATTCTTTTTTCAAAAGTTCGTTTGATCAATTAAGGTAAGATACTTTTGTGCAAGTGGTTTGTTTCCTTATACTTTTATATTTAATATTTTATGCATGAATTGCCAATGGACCTTCGGGTCCTTTATTAAGAGATAAGAGATCCTACGGAAATTTAAGATGACCTAAGATGGGTGTGTTGCTTGGTCACCAATATACTTTATAAGAGGAGTGATGTAAAGTGTTTATTTTATTACATATAATTGTGTATAGAAACAACACGTATCGTACTGAGTATTTTTAAATACTCAGTCTTACAAAATTTTAGAGGTTAGTTCGGGTCGATTTGAACAGTGGCGGGATGGTGATGCGACTGCCAAGAGTAATCGAAGAGATAAAACATTAAATTTATTTTTTTTTAAAATTATTAGTCAGTTTAATTTGTTCAAAGACTGTTATTTAATTTGTGATTATGTTTTCATTTTGAATATTCCAGTTATTTTTATTTAAAGAATATTATTCTATCGTTCCACAAAGAAATTGAATTTTTGGTAACACTCCAGTGTTTGTGAAATTTTGGGGCGTTGCACAAAGACTAAGCTTTGATTTCTCTTTGTTAAAGCATATGCCTTGACTTACTGAGCTGCATGCCTTAGATCATAAGGCGAAAAAGGTATGCACTTTTTAGTTATGCCATTTTTGTGATCTTTCTAAGTGCTCTGCTTTTTCATGGCTTAGAACGTGCAATCATAGAAACTATAAGAAAATAATTAAATTATACCAGATTTAGCCTTTTTAAATGCACCAATTCAATTTTTCTTGAAGAATATTATGCTTCTAGCATTATCTTATTAGATGCTACCGATGTCCAAATTTATGTTTCTTTGGTTTTAGGATAAAAATCTTTATACATTCACGTGCTCTTATTTGTCATGAACTTTTTTCTTTCCTAATGATTCTTGGTTTCTTTAAATTTTGAAAAATAAATGCTAGTGTTGCTTGGGATAAATGGTTACTTTGAGTCATGTCTGTCATTGCAATCAACGTGTGGATGGGGGAAGAGCTTGCGATGGCTGATTAGGATTGTGAGTGACCATTCATGAGTGAGACCAGTGTTCTTCTTTTCGGAACCTCGCAATAAATCAACTGGGGCTGCTCGAAAACCAATGTTGCTTAGATAAAATTAGTGTTTCATAAACTATGAAGATGTAGTTTAATAATTGCACTCTTTCACATACAGTAATATCCCTAAGAGTACCCTGTGGAACGCCAAGCAGGTACCTTGTATTGGGGATATTGTTAGATAATTCGGTAGGTGCCTCCCATGCCATGCCCCTACCCCAAAAAAAAAAAAAAAAATTCAATGAAATGAAAAACCATATTGTTCTATTTCGAACTTGCAGAAGAAAATTCTGCTTCTCTAGAGATAAACGCTGCAAAACTCCTGTATAAATAAACAAAATGCTATTGCGTACCCCAGCGTACAATAAACTGTCTCATTGCTTGCAGTTTTGGGGAAAGTGAAAGATTTCCTAGGCGTTATATCAGAATCAAATAGAAATATCATGCAAGAAGCCAAGGTATAATAAGTAGTGGAATAGAAGTGTAGATTTTTTTAGTTTTCATCTGATTATTATCTGTTTGCACTGAGTTTTTCTCATGCTCTTGACAAAATACAGGATAATCCTGAAAATTATGATATTGAAGTCCTGAGTGGAAGAGAATCGGAATACATTGAATTGGTAAAGGCTGTCTTCAATTAATTGTCATGGTTGTTGGAGAGCAAGTTACAACAGTAAATTTTACAGCTGATTATTTGGTGGCTATGTTCCCAGGACTTGATGCTGGGTGTCGCTGATCTTCATACCCCGGAAGCTGTTGCTGCTGCAGAGTCTGCAATAGCTGGTTTTCAACCAATAATTCCCTTGGCTGGCGATAGTAGTAGCGAGTCAGAATCTGAAGATAGCAGTGATGATGGTAGTGACAATATTAAGGACGACGACGAAGAACAGTCTGCAAAATATAGTTCTAAGGCTTCTGAAAAGGATTCAAGCAAAGCATCAAGGAATCAGAAATCAAGAAAACGGCCAAACATTGTTGAGCTTTCTTAGATTCTGATGTTTTGTAGATAACTATTGAGTTTTGTTGTAGAAAATGAAGTCACGGTCTGCTGGTGCGTGACCGACCAGTGATTTCAGATGGGAGAAATTTACTAGACGAGTGTCTCGGCGAATGCACCTGTGATATCAAACCCTTGATCGTGCTTGCTTAATACTCTCTCTCTCTCTCTCTCTCAAGTGTGATTCAGGTGAATCATTAGGTCAGGAAACAAGGACTGATCATGTTTGCTACCGAGTGGGAATCATATTTTATTTGCTTCATGTTAAACAAGATTATAATATGAAAACAAGATCAATATTAGCCAAATAATGTCAAATCACCAACATCAACATGCGTTGCATGGTCACATAAATACAATGAGATCTTTGGCACATAGGAAAGAAAATGACCAATTATCTTATGCAATGCCAAGATTCATGTACGACGTACTGTTCCACACTTGAAGAGGCATAGATTTGAGTCGAGCTGCCTACATTTGAAGTAGATTGATTCTAGTCTATATAAAAGTTTGATGCAGAGAGACGTGTTCTTCAAAGGTTGTGTACGTGTAGTTCACATTGACCTTTTTAAAATAAAAAACTATTGGCGTTTAGGTTTAGGTTGAGCTCATAGACTTTCCACACCAAATCACTCCAAAGATGTCCTCGCAGTCAATTCCCTCTTCACTTTACGATTGTACAATAGTTAATGTTACCTTTTTTTGAAACGAAAATTATTGGTTCAATATGACTGAGCTTAGGTTCAACCATGACCCTAGGCCTCAAGATATGAGGGGGGCTTGAGAAAAATTAAAAGCTCAAACCATAGTTATTAAATCGGACTGGACCGGTTTCGAAACTGGCAAGTGATTCGATCCAATTGCTATAATTGGTACATTTAACAAGTGAATCGGTCAAAAATTGGTTGAACCACTCAATACATGGATGAACCGGACAAGCTTAGATGAAACCGGAATTGGTCCAAGGATGAACCAATTTGTAACAAAGTCAAGAACAATTTTTTTTTTTTTTTCCCAATATGCAAAGATAAAGATTCGAACCTAGGCATTTGAAGTGAAATATCACATTCATGATTATTATGGCAACAACTGAACTTGTATAAAAAATAGTGAACTAGTACATATATACTTTATATTGAGAAACATTGTTGTCTTTTGTTTTAAAAAATATTTTTTAATTAAATTAAGACTTAGCAATGATCCACCAGTTGAACCATAACTCGGTGACCCAATGATTTTTCCGGATCGATTAACAGGTCGGGCCTGATAAGTATGGCCCAAACAGTCGTTATTTGGTTGAGGCTAAGGTTTTGGTGCCTTTTCGATTCGACGTTGCATTTGAAGAAGATTTGAGGAATTTTCTTGAAGATGTAATAATGCAAATAAAGCAAAAGCCTGCCCCCTTGCCAGAAGATGTTTGCCCACTTGGGTGACCTAAACTCACGTGGCGTGAGATCGACATGGGGACCCACGTACCAATAGAATTAAGTTGATGTGCTAGAAGAGGTTTGACCACTTGGGTGACCTAAACTCACATGGCGTGGGACCGACATGGGGACCCACGTGAAATAAAAAATGAAAAAAAATGCTCACCCCCTCCCCCAATGTGTGTGGCCTGTCACGGAGGGTATCACACCCTCCCTGGCACACAAGCTCGGTTCTAACCAATAATGTCGGTTTTTCTAAATTATTCAGGTTTAATTTATGTTCTTCGTATTTGATTGCCGCTTTAAATTATTTCTACTTTTTTTAATATAGGATTTTTGGACAGTAAATGATAGTCACCATCCATACTTCATTGATTTTTAAAATCCTTGTGTTCTATTTCTTGAACGCAAGAATTTGATTGTCGGAAGAATCCTCAAAATTTTCATGGTCGACCTTGGTTGAGCTCATAAACCCGCACCATACCCTCAAAGTCGTTCCAGTTCGTGTTGAGATTGTAGACAACCCACGTCAAACCGCTCCGAAAACATCTCACCCCACTATTCATTTTACACAAAACGTGAGTCGAGAAAGTCATTGTGTTCAAATTTTGGTTGCTCATCCTCGGGCCATCAGCCACCTAAAATAATATTTTCACCACCCACCACCTCCACCTATACATAAATTTACAACCCACTTCTCTTCAAACTTAAGTTTATCAATTCATTGATTTTCATACAGGTACCAAATGTATAAATGCATTCTTTCTTGCATTTCCCATAACGGTGTTAACAGATCCAACATCCCGAAGAGCTTCCATTTCTGTATATTCATAACCCCTTTCAGATTCCTACTTGCTTAATTTGATCTTAGTTTCTGTGTCGTCATTTTAGATCTATGCTTACTTGCTTAGAATACAATTCAGATTAAACTTTCCGTTTGGTAGATTAATATTTGAAAATTAAGTAAAAACTAATGCCTCCTAACCTCATGCTTCTTCTGTGAAGTTAAATATCACGAGAAAGAATTTGAGAAATTTAAGGGCCACGCATTCTTAACAATATAAGTTTTCTTCTGTGCTGAAATCGATCAAATTTGCATGAAACAGGAAATAATTTGCCTTTTTCTGATCATGGCACCAGCTACAGCAACAGGGGATTCGATTAAACCCAGAGGTACTGTATATGCTATTTACATTCCGTGAGGTTTTTTACTACTATGGTGACATCCCAATCTTTCCAAATATGAACAAAATTGATCCAAAATTGTAACTTGAAGAAAGGGGAAAGAATAATTCCAAATTTTGAACCTTATTTAGTGCCAACCTTGTTGTACTTTTACTATTTTGATTAGAGTACATGCAAATGCAATGTAAACTTACAAATTATTAAAACTTGACATGTTCAGTTAATGCATTGTTTTTTACTTTATCTTTATTAAATTATTCTAAAATATCTATTTTGTGTTTATTTGTAAACAAACAAGTTGTTCTTGATCATATTTGGAAAACATATGAAGTACTTTAAGAAATAAATTATATTTCATAATTTTATTTGGACATTGTTACAAAATTTTATAATTCATTTTACTGAGAACGATGCTTCCTTTTAGTTCAGGAAAAAAAAGGACATGAGAAAAAAGAGAGAGAAAGATAGTTCAAATTACCTTTAATAATAGTTTTAAATATAGTATGAAAGCAGAATGATAAAATGGGCAATACGTTTTCATTTTTTGGGCCTGACATGGGAGGATTTGTTTTGGATAACAAATCTCATGGAGTTTCTATGATTTTTGAAAAGGAAGGAGCATTCCAGTATTGTTCTCAAACAGAAAGTAGTTGCTAGACACACTACTTGCTGCACTATATATTTTTTTTTCTCCTTAAGAATCTTTGGTGATTTAGGTTTAACAACTTTTTAGTCTTCAGTTAAATGTGAACTGTTCTTCTATTAGATAGTTCAATGAATTGTGAATTTTTCTTGGTACTTCTGTAACTCTAATTATATGCTATTTTTCTTCTCTTAAGAGTATTTAATGGTTGTGACACGTTCACCTTGATATAATGTTTTAGCTTTATAATTAGTAAGATCTTGTTGAGATTTGTTTAATTGGCATGAATCATCTGCTTTGATTTGAATAGAAGTTTGCATCGTTGGTGTTGCCCGAACACCAATGGGTGGCTTTCTTGGCTCCCTTTCGTCACTATCAGCAACCAAGCTTGGATCTATAGCTATTGAGAGTGAGATTGCTAACTTTACGATATGTCATCCAAATGGAGAAACTTGTTTATAACAGTGAAGTTCTAATGTTATTTCTTTAACCTGCCAACTTTTAGGTGCTCTTAAGAGAGCAAACATTGATCCATCACTTGTACAAGAAGTTTTCTTTGGAAATGTACTCAGTGCAAACTTGGGACAGGCTCCAGCTAGGCAGGCAGCATTAGGTGCAGGGATACCCAATACAGTGATTTGCACTACTGTTAACAAAGTCTGTGCATCAGGGATGAAAGGTCTGGTTCTCACTATAAAAAAACAGAGATCTTCTTTCGACCAAAATTATAATTTCTCTACAGTAGAAATAGGAAGGCGTTATATTTGTGATATTAGTTATTACATACTCTGTTTTCATTACAGCAACTGTGCTTGCTGCACAAAGTATCCAGTTGGGCATCAATGATGTCGTTGTGGCTGGTGGCATGGAAAGCATGTCCAATGTCCCTAAATACTTAGCCGAAGCAAGGTTGGTGATCTAATTGAGGGTCATGCTTTTGTTACTTACCATCTGCTTTGAGTCAGATGATTTTTCTTGTATTTCAAATTTCCTCTAAAGATTAAGAAGATAAATTATAACAAGTGTGAAATTGACAAGTGATACTGTCATATTGCATATAGACTGAATATAAAGGCAGAGACCTAGATTTCTGGTATGAGCTAACCATAATAATGTACATTTTCGCTACTGCTGACCAAAACAAGGGAACAATAGCTAGACCTTTCCAATCTCAAATACTATCTTAGTTTTTCCCACATGTTGATTCTGCCTAAAAAACTTTCAGCTCGTGGATTATGATCACCCAATGTCCTACCACATGTTTTTCCTCTGCATGGACTCTTCAGAACAATGAGATAATCATTAAGCATGATGAATACAATTTCAGGGCGTTCTTATCTTGTGATGCACATTCTAACTACAACAGAAATTTTTTTGTAGCTTTCCTGCCTCTGCATATGTAAAATGATTGGGTTCTCCATTTTGCTTCTGTGAAATATGAATGTCTTATTCATAATTGTTGCTGTTATGAGTACTGTAGATTCACTAGTGTGCAGGTGTTGCAAAACAGTTTAATATATAACATATATTATGGATCTTAATATATTCCAGGAAGGGATCTCGACTTGGACATGATGCTCTTGTTGATGGGATGCTGAGAGATGGACTATGGGATGTCTACAATGACTTTGGGATGGGTGTTTGTGCTGAATTATGTGCTGAACACCATGAAGTCACAAGAGAGGAGCAGGTTTGTCTACAAATACCAATGATTTTTTTCTTGATCTAAATAGTTCAGTCAACTATAGTATAATTCTGATTACCATCTTACTTCTTTTCTTTGTCACTCATGACATGCTAAATTATTGTAATATATTAGTTCTTTCCATGAAAAGAATATGAATTCATTTTCTTTAATCCAAGTCTTCTCTTCCATTTGATCATAAATTTTCCCCAATATATATATATATCTGGGTTGTCTTCTTAGTCCAGAAACAGGGGAGGGGAAGAACCTCTTAATGGGTTTCTCTGTTTGCAATACACGTCTCTTTTGCTTTTATTTCCAGGAATCTGTTGTCCAAAACCTGTTGCTTATGTCAAGAGTTTGATTGTAGTACCTCGTTATGCAGGACAATTATGCAATTCAAAGCTTTGAGCGTGCCATTGCTGCTCAAGATAGTGGTGCCTTTGCGTGGGAGATTGCTCCAGTAACATAACTAGAGCTTAGCTTCTAAATGTAGCTTTCCCTGAAACATGTTATGAACTGCCATCTGGTATCATGCAGGTTGGAGTATATGGAGGAAGAGGAAGACCATCTACAGTAGTTGATAAAGATGAAGGTCTAGGAAAGGTGAAATTTTTACCTACTACTTAGACTTGTAGAATAATGTACTTGTTTCTCTGCAGATCTCACCCAAATCAGTGCTGTAATTCAGTGTATTCCTTAGGAAGAATTGCACTTTCAGAAAAAGTGTAGATCATGTCTATATATATGGTTGGACGCTGCATTTCTGTCATCATGAATTTTATGGGAGTCAAAGAATATTTTGGATTTCCTTTTCCTGCTGATTTGAAATATAACTTGTCAAACTGTTCTGCCCCTTAAACAAGAACTAAATTAATGTGCTAGGTGTTTACTGTTATGCGTCCAAATCCACCTGATATCAAAAAGAAGATGCATTTTATCAGTTAGCATATCTTATGTTTTTGTGTGTACATGTGCTATATAGATTAGTATTAAGTAGAACTTAGTATTATTTATAGCTACTCATTCTTCTTTGGCTGGTCAGTTTGATGCTGCAAAGTTGAGGAAGCTTCGACCAAGTTTTAAGGAAAATGGTGGTACTGTCACGGCTGGCAATGCTTCTAGCATAAGGTTAATTGCTTTCGCTGTCCTGCATTCTTATACTTCATGTTCAGTTCTATTGAGTAACATCGGTTCTGATTGAGCAGTGATCATTAATCTACTCATGTTAATATTTCAAGGAATTATTTAAATTCCTAAAACTTGGTTCATTTAGTATTATCTTTGAAGTGAAGGGTATTTGCTATTTCTCTATTTCATCTCTTTCAATGAAATCCTTAACTATTTAGTTGCACCCCAGATTTTCTTGTGATTTCCTGCACATTGATTATGCTTATCTTAATCTTATTCATTCCAAAAGAAATTGGGGGTAAATGTTGTGGAATAAAGATTTTTAGTTTCGTGTTTCCTTTAAGAAGTCTCTGCAAGCACGGAAAACTTTTGTACCCCAAAATTTTTATTAAATTTGTGGCTGAATTTTAGTTTTTCCTAGAATTCATGTTCGAGACATTTCATCCCACCCACCCAATGCACACACGTGCACAAAGAAATATTCTTCACTTCCATTTAAAACAAATGGGGTCTAGGAATGAAAAAATATCAGATATTGAGTTCAAAAGCTGGATGTCCTAGGATGGTTTTGATAGTCTGTACTAGACCTTCCTTAAAATTTCATCCTTCAAGTTGAAGTTTATTTACAAGTGAACGTAATCTTTTTTTTCCAGCGATGGTGCTGCTGCTCTGGTCTTAGTGAGTGGAGAGAAGGCTGTGAAGCTTGGACTACGAGTCATTGCAAAAATCTCTGGATATGCTGATGCTGCTCAGGTATCATGCATGCTTGTGTTTATGTGATTCTAAAATAAGCTTAGCTACCATGAAGGAATTGATGGATCCTTATTTCTACACTTCCCATATTCACCTTAAATACGATAAATCTGGTTGACTTTACAACATTGATGTTTGAATGGAGCATACTTTGCAGGCACCGGAATTGTTTACAACTTCTCCAGCTCTTGCCATTCCGAAAGCTATTTCAAATGCTGGCTTAGAAGCTTCTCAAATAGATTATTATGAAATCAACGAAGCCTTTTCGGTACATCTTTCTTTCACTTAAGTGAATAGTTCTTCAAATGTGAGTATGTCCTTATTCTGCACACGTGATGCATGTAGGTTGTGGCTCTTGCTAATCAGAAATTGCTGGGGCTTAATCCAGTGAGTTGTTCAACTTCAACCTTTCTCTCCCCATCGCAACAAGCCCTCCTCCCCGTGCACAAAAAATTATGAGTGTTACTATGTCCAAATGCCAGTGTTTATGTTGTGTGTATCATCCGTTTGTGCTGATGTAATGGGTGGATTCCACTGTGTAGTGATATTACTGATATTTTGCAGGAGAAAGTAAATGTACATGGCGGAGCTGTATCCTTAGGTCATCCTCTAGGTTGTAGTGGAGCACGTATATTGGTCACACTTTTGGGGGTATGTTTTCTTCTCCACTAGAGAGCTAATCTGATGTTACTGGAATTTTGGTAAAACAAAACCTTTGGTGATAGTTAGGAATAGCCATATGTTACTATTCTTTATGAAGAATTTAGGATTATTTTCTTTTATAGATAATAAGTCAACAGTCTTGTACGTCTTGTTTAGTTCATGGATGGGTTTGAACGATTTGAAATAAATGATCAATTGTTCTTAGAACAAAATGATAAAGCTGTTTTCACTGACTTGATCGAACTGCATTGTTTCAGGTATTGAGGCAAAAGAATGGAAAATGTGGAATTGGTGGTGTTTGCAATGGAGGAGGAGGTGCTTCAGCCCTCGTGATAGAGCTTGTATAATCATTTTCTTTTTTTGGTAAGTCTAAATGCTAGAAGGTAGTAGAGTATCTAAGGGAATGACTACCATTTAAATGCTGTATATTTCTGATTTTTGTGCTTGTTTGTGTGATGAGTTAATGAGTTTTGCGACTAAAAAGTTCTCAATTGCAGCTACTTTCAAGAGATACATTTACCATGAAGAGATGGACCTAGTAGATTGTGTGTGTATTGTCTTTTAATTTAGAAGTATTGTAATTTCTTTTCCTTTTCTTCATTTAATAAATGGAAATGTGCTCGGGAGATTACTTTTGTGAACCTAAAAATGAAAGAGAGAGAGTTAATTTCACTCTCCTCTTCATCTCTCTCGGGATTTTCCATGATTGTAAAACACTATCAATAAAATCTTTTTTTCTTTGTGAGAGTTCATTGCTCGAATTCGTTATCGTTGTGATTTAGAGTCTGTCGATGATGTGAGCTCAACAGTCGAGAAAATGATAGTGTGCGCTATTTATTTACTCCCCTTACTCTAGTTCTGGGTTTGTGCTTTTCTTTGTGATAGGTATTTGTTGAATCATCGTAGATTTACAGTATGCTATGATATGTTAATATGCACAGAAATAACTGTGTTATATGCCATATGCTATTGTATCACCTCCTCTATCAACTTAAATGAATAGAGAATGGATTCCCAGACAATAACAAATATTAATAAATTTCTCTCTAGAATTTACAAAACAGTACATATTTGACTCTGCATTCAACTGAAAGCTTTTTTCACAAATACAAAATAAACATAACAACAGACACACACATTGAATACATATTTGACTCTGCACTCAACTGAAAGCTTTTTTTGTTACAAATACAAAATAAAAATAACAACAGTCACACACATTGAAACTTTTAGACTCTGGATATTCCGTGCTTACGCTCGAAAATCCGTCGAAGAAGGTAAACTTGAAGAACGCTTGATCCAATAAGCGCTACTGCTTCCAAAATCGCCTTCTGGATAGCTCCCCATCTCATACCTTCGTTAACTGCATCAGTTGCATTTTGTTAAATCACACATATTAATGATTTGTCGTGTGTGTGTGATTGTGAGAGTTTCAACCGATAAATTAAAACTCTTCCAAATTAATATTTGTTGAACATGATATATTTGAATAACTTAAACTTTTAAATTAAGTGATTACCAAATGTTTGGCGATCACTTTGTGCCTGTAACCAATGCTGTTCAAATTGAATGTTGTACAGAGCGTCTTCTAACTTCGAGATTTGTTCGAACAATGGTCTAAAATGTTCTACGTGCATTACATACATTTCAACAATAACAAACAAATGTTATCAAAATTATACAAGAAGATCAATCTAGAAATGTGGAAGGATCAACACATACGTACCATCCTTTGCGTGTTGATTAGAATAATAATGAGTAACATGAACGTCGAAATCTACGGTTTCATGATAAGGTGACTTGTTTTTGAAGCAAAACCGATATACCCCTTTCCTATGAGCCAGAAACTCGTACTGCTCACTCTTCTTGTCTCGGAATTCATGAATTGGATTGCCCGATGGCCCTTTTATCTGATAATTATGACGTAACTGTTAGAGTCACGATTATTCATAAAGGGCAAGATGCAGCACGAGAAGGGAACACAATGTGACTCTGTGTAAAGGTTCATAGCTACACAAAAGATGCCCAATCTTACAAATGAAACACCCAAAAATCAATGGAAAAGATTTTAAAAAATCGAAAAATCAATCAAGAAAATTACCGTGAGATCGATCCCATCGTCACCATAATGCCAAGCAGCATCAACTTTGATGGCAACAAAGGAGATATGGACAGTTTCACCTTCATATTCAACATTGTACGAAACACATTCTTCTTTGTCTAAAACAAATCTTATTCCAAATCCTCCTTGCATCGACAAAACCACCACCATCAATATCATTTTCGCGTAAATGCCCGAACCCATCTGCACCAATTAATTTCAATAATCGTATCTATGCATTGCTCAAAAGATCCATGAAAATATAGATATAGGGAACTTACTTTTAGATGTTCAGAGAGAGAGAGAGAGAAAGAATGGAAATAAGTGTATGTTTTTTTGTGTTTGAGGGGAGGTGGTTATAGTCGTTAAAGAATTTACACTTTATTAAATGTTTTTACTTATTTATTTTAATTACTTGTAAGTAATATTAATGTTGCGCCAAGTGCAACTCCCTCAGTGTTGTCCTTAAAGTTTGATTTTAGCTTTCGAATGCAGCTATTTAATTTGTATAGCACGAAACAATTCATTGTACTGTTGTAACACGTCCGTTTGTTAACATAGATGGCAATATGGCAGATCATAAGCTTGTGCCATTTGTCAATCTAAGGATTTGCTGAATAATGCTACTATGTTAGAAAGTAGGTAACATAATATGTATTAGCAAGCGAACCTTGCTACTTGTACAAAAAAAGTTGTACAAAAAAGTTGACAAACACTCACATGTGGGGGCCCACTTTTTATTTTCAATTTTTTATTCATGTGGGGTCGGCAATCATGTGAGTGTTTGTCAACATTTTTGTCAAATTCTTTTTGTACAAATAGCTTTATTCGCCGCCCTTACATATAAACGCAGACCCAATTCCGTCATTCCACCAATTCTATATCGTGCTTTGTTAAGTAACATGAGTTGTAACACGTCCGTTTGTTAACATAGATGGCAATATGGCAGATCATAAGCTTGTGCCATTTGTCAATCTAAGGATTTGCTGAATCATGCTAGAAAGTAGGTAACATAATATGTATTAGCAAGATGTGATTGGATGGAAATGCTAAGTGTGTTTTAAACAATTCAATGATAGATTGTCATATGACATTCATTATGTCAATGTAGCTTGATTGGGGTTTGCTTGAGAGTTTTTTCCCCCTATTTTGGATGGCTTCATTTTTTAGGGGTTGAGAAAAACGATGCTTACTAATTTTTTTAGGCACCAATTTTGGATGGATTAAAAAACACTCAAATTTTGTGTAATATAATTTTGATCGTTTCTCTCAAAATCGATACTTTAAAAAACGTTCATAACTGACACCTCAAGCATGCCGTAAGAGTCGATTGGTTGGACTTATTGTATTACTAATTTTATATCTTCTTCAAATCACAATGACATATATAATTGTAAATTGCAACCACATTCCTCAACCAATAGCACCATTTGCACTTTTTGTTGCAACATAAATGTTAATTAAGTTTTAAATTTCAAAATTAAAGGTAATTTTAAATTTTAGTTTTCTGTTTTAATTTACATTTAATACAAAATTAAAACTCTTGATTAATGGATTATAACTTATACTTAAATTGGATTTATTTTCATGAATGTGGAGTGGTGATTTCATTATTTGATGCAAGATGAGAAAACTCAATTTGAAAGAATATCCTATATACATTCTATATTTCTATAAATTTGGCCATATGGATTTTATTTTGGAATTGTGTAGTGTCGAAAGTATCCGCACGAAAAAGAGGCGATACGACTTTAGAACAACGTTCTTGATGTGACTCCTTAAGACTTTTTTTTTAATTCTCCACTTATATTTTATGTTTATGTTATTGTTGAATTCTTATGTTTATGTTATTTAATTGATTATGTTAATTGATAATTAATATATACACGAATCACCAATTTTTTCCAACACTTTTAACCCCAACCTCCTTTTTTGCTTAGCTTTAAGTTCTGTGATATAGCAAAAAACCCAACCCCCTATGAAACCTTGTTCCCTATGTAACCTTTTTCCTTATCTTCACAGTAATTGTATAAGTCCATGCATTATATAAATAATCATGCCTAGACATGAGAGACTATTGTTATTCCTCGCTTCTGAGGCTCGATGAAACGAGGCCATGTGACACGACGTGTGGACAGGCAGTCAACAAGAGTCAAAAAGAAGACACAGTAGGTCAAATGCACCAATAAGACAAACAATCTAAAATCCTCACACCACGTCCGAAGTCCTCACCACAGCGCAACGAAGTCCAGGTTGAGGCACTTCTTCAAAGACGAAGCTCAAATCCATCCGATGTTCTCTCCAACTTATTCGAAACTCATTGAGCCGACGCTGTCTCTTGAAATAGATTTAAGGATCTACCAGAAGTGAGTGATGTAACACTTGTAATAAAGTTTTCATTGTATCCAGCCTATTGTATAGGTCGCTAACCTCTTATTAATGTATTAATTGTATGAATAGACAGTGATGTGAAGCCTTAGTTAGAGAGATGAGCCCACGTGGTTCCGATCCAATAGTCACCACGTCGGCCAAGGCCGTATGAATAGGCCCTCTTTGTAAAAAAGAAGGGGGCTGGACGAACATATGATAAAAAAAAATACACTTGAACTCAGAAAAGTAATATTCTTATATTTCATCTATCCTTCCACATATTCCTACTTGGTTATTAAATAAATCATTTTGGTTTTGGTCCGGCAATCGTTGCTATTACGATTGCTTTTGTTCTACTCGTCGGAGCTTGAACATTTCTTGTCTCTCGTCGTAAAGTACCTCCTGCGTCCATTTCCTTGTCGCTGCCGCCATCATTCCGTTAGGAACGCGCCGGAATCGTGATTGACTTGGCGAGAGTGGTCCCGACATCTGTTAATTCATTTTTTGGGGTCAACAAGTTCCTCAACCTACCGTGTTAAATAGGCAAAAGAATACGAAGTTCGACAAAAAATAATATAATTATACCACGTATTCTCTCTTATACTGTATGCATACAGTCATAAATTTATAGATTGTGGAATGGTAGGAAATTTGAACATTTTACACAGGTTTTTGCATCACATTTGTAAATGACATGCTTCTGTATTCTCAATAATGTACATATATAGTCCATTGACTTGTGGAGCAAAACCTTGCCCATCAGTTGATACTGAACACATGTAGATGCATTTCTTGTGTTATCATTTGAATAACTTCCTGAAACCATCAAATATTCTGAGAGCCCTTAGTTCGCCGCTCCTTATATCTCTCAATCTCCTCCTCAGTATCTGGTATTAAAAGAAGAAGACAGACAATTCCATCAGTTCGCAGATAAAATAGAACAAATTCATGGTTTGACGCTGGTAAAAAAGAGGGAGTTAAGATACATGCAAATGGCATCATGCTATCGAAATGGATGTATGGAAATCTGCTGTGTGTTACATTACTTTCAAAGGAGTATATAGAACATGGCGACTCACAGACCAGAATTCATGTTTCAGTCCCTCTATACTGATGTAATCAACAGCCACATTGTGTCAAGATTTGCACTAAAGAAGAAAGCACGTGTAAACAATTACTGCGTGCTATCTGCTATGTTATCAATAACTACACAGTTTCATGTAAAATAATGAAACTGAAAATTTTGGCCCAACTCTATTCATTGATAAGCATGTTCTCAATGACAATGAACGTTCTATCCTTGTTTATGCATGAGCTGCAGAAGAAGAACATAATGAAGTGAAAAAAAAAAGCAAAGGAAATTTGAGAAGTTTAGTCTGTTGCAGCTTCCCTTCATTTCCATTTCAAATTTTTTATTTTGCAATAACCTTAAATGATGTAAGGCAAACTGATTTCGAAGAAAAATAGTTGAAAATAGCCTATAAAACTGTTTAATATTCAAATTTGTGTGTGTTAAAATATTGAGCAGCATATACTAAAAGAAGGCCATATCTTGCAAAATAGAGTGATTGATTACATATTGAGCGCGAAACAGTATCCTCTGTTCACTAGTGCACAAATCCACTGCTAGCTGTTTCAAAAACACTTTCCGATTCAGGATCTTTGGATTCGTCACATCCAGATCCATTGACCCACTTGCCTGTCATAAGGTAGCAAATTAAAACTAATATTTAGAAGAAAACTCTCGCATGGAATCATATCTTCATAACAACAATTTCCAGAGGAACTCTTGTACAAGACTTCGGTTAGAAATGAAATTCACTCGCCTGAAGGAATTTGGAATACTTTGATATGCTCGACTCACAAGCATCCAATATGAATTGCATTGCATCTTCTTCTATTTCAGGGTATCTGATATCCTTTTTTGATGTAATCTTATTTGAAGCTGCATTGGCCATCTGAAATAAATTTAAAGACAAGTTACGAATTGCCTAAAATGTAAAAGAACTATTCTCTCTTTTAGGTTGCAAAACTACCAGACCTCTTCAAACTGCCTGTTCATACTTGGGGGGCTTACTGCTAGATAGGCATATGCCATCAATTCCAAGGGCCAACCAGTAACTTGTAACGGATAACACTGCGACCTGTTAACAGATGACAATAATTAGAAACTCCAATATTTTCAACAGGAACTATTACAAAACCTTCATAGTTCAGCATGATGTATAGTTTCAGTAGTATCATGACTCGGGATGATTAGGCTGCAATCATATTCTCAAAATCATTAAAGAAGTAACCAACAATCCTAACATTATTATGAGCAGTAAATCATTTATAACTGAACAAACCATCCAATAATAGGTACTCACGCTGATAAACCATACTTCAAAGCTTCCAACTTCTCTTTGTAACATTTGTCAGATTTTCTAAGTGATAATGACAACTCAACTGAATCACGAGGGTTGGTTCCTTCTCGGGGAACAAATCCATATGAAAGCAGCAGCTCCCCATTGGATTTCCGTCCATATGATATGAAAACCTTCAAGAAGTTGTGCAACAGAAAATTATACTCATGCAAAGGGGACGCCTTATATAACAAGTGAACAGCATCAAATTGTTCGATAAGTTAATTTACAGTGGCTTGATCACAGAGCGACAAGAAGGAAGTAGCAACCACTGCCATAATAGAATTTTAAAAGAAATATTTGTCCCCTCAGAATTCAAAATATAAAGGAATGAATAAATAGTAAGGAGTCCGAAATATCCCTCAAGCAAACCCATCAAAGGAGGAGGTAAAAAAGAAAGAGATAAGTCTTACAAGGATGAAAATTAAACTCAAAGACAATCATACTTTCTCCAACATAACACAGTTGAATAGTACATTAAACATTTTCTCGTGATGGTGAACAAATAAATAGAAGTCATTATTAAAAGAGAGAATTCCGTGGCTCCAGATCCAATGGCATATAACCTTAAGAAAACCCAAACAAAATTTAAAAGCATTAGAATCTGGCATATTCTTAGAATTGAAGTTGGTTTCTCGTTAAGATCTCCACACTGTTACATTCTTGATATAGAAATGTTAACTTATCAGCAGCTAAATTCCTGGAGCTTGTGTACCTGCTCACCTGGCTCATATGCTCGATCAGTTGTAAAAACAACTCCCTGGGAGGATTTATCATAATCCAGAAACGTCTCCACCTTGAAAAAGCAAATAAAACTGTCAGAACTATGGTTGTTGTCATGTCAATTATGTCAATAGAACACATGGTTATCCAGAAGTGGGCATGCCCATAAAAGCCATACCTCACAACTATGATTCAGCATATCTGCCCAAGGAACCAAAGCAACCTTTCCATCCATTGCGGGTAAACGGACCTGTGTTAAGATGGATATAACTGTCAATTTAATAGATTGATATATGATTACGTTGTCAAAAGATTTTGGCATCAAGAATCTGAATCTCTCTCTCTCTCTCACACACACACACACACATTGAAAGAATTACAATCAACTGTGTCAATGCAACTCACCAAGCGCGAGAAAAGAATGCCAAATGACCATTTAAAAGTCTCCATGTTGAATACCTGAGAAGGCATAAAATAGCATTTATCACCAACAAAATTAATATGACGTATCATACAAGTTTATTATGTCAGGGACCATCTTTACTTCTTCAAACAAGATTGTCAAGTGACTAGCATAGAATTGTGAAGACATAATGCATTACAAGGAAAACATGATAAAAATTAGTATATAGCATAGGTTGGGTCGACCCAGACTCCAGTTCAGGCCCATGGTGTGCTAGGAACAGGAGGGATTCAAGCAGTGGCAATGGCAACAACCTTTCCAATAGAAGACCAAATTTGGTCACATCATCCATGCTCAAGATTCATCCATATTTTCCTTCACTAATGACTCAAATCCTTTGTTATTTCAATGTTGAATATTAGTTTTTTCACTGAAATTTGTAGACTGGACAAACATCATAATGTTTCTTTTTCCTTTGAGTAATAGAATAATCTCACATTTTCATTAGTTTACATTTACTTTTGTAATCCTATTAGAATTCCAAGTAGCATTGAAGCTTGTGGTTTATTTCCTTTATTGATGATTGTTCTCAAGTTACTTGATTATAACTTTTGTTCATGACCTGTGTAAAGCTAACCCTAGATCCCTTAAACTTGTATTTATTGGATCATCAACAATAGAATGTATACAAATTTTATCATCCTTATTCTAAGAAAATTTTCACTTTCATGAATAACTTCTACTGGAAATCAGCCTTTCCCGCTGAATCACATATCCAGGGGAAATCGTCTATAAGATGAGTGATTTGAGCTTTGAACTCTCTGATCTACACATTTAACTCCTGCGTTGTACTTTCCATTTTTGTATATCTGTTTCCTAATTTTGTAGTGTAGAATATTTATAGGGATGCTTTCCTGGTTTAATCATTTGATATATTATTCAATAAATATGTTTATCCTTCATCCTTTCTGAAGTTTCAATGGAAAGATTCATCTACCAACGCAGTCCACTGTAGGATGTCTCCATTTCTGAATCTGTACTCCATTAAATACTGTAATTTGTTTGCAAGTGCATGGATAAATGGAACAACACTAGGTGTACCGGCGGTGGGTGACAAACACCCTGACCGGCCCCCTCACAATAGGGGGGGCCCACATTTTTTTTTTGAAATTTTTTATTCATGTGGGGCCAACCATCATGTGAGAGTTTGTCAACTTTTTTGTCAAATAATTTTGTACAAGTAGGATTTTTCGGGTAAATGAGTGCCTATTCATGTGCACTTACTCTACAGAATAGCATATATAGAAGTAATTTCACTTCAATAGGAGACTTCTACATGGATAATGTACCTCTTCAGGAAATAAATCAGGATACTTTGAAAATATCCTGAGTCTCAAGTCGTTGTATCTGCACACGAGATCGTGTTAGAGTTAAACAATGAGAAAGGCAACAAATTAGCAAATTTTAAACTTAATCATGAAACTGTAAGCAATTAACAAAACAAAAACCAAAATATATTTTGAAGCAGAGAAAAGAAGCCCTACGTTCCAGTAACATCATTTATCCTTTCTATTGCCCGCTCTCGTATTTGTGACGCCTCCAGATACTTATCTAGTTCTGAACGAGTCCTGAAATGACAAAGAATGGCTGTAGGAAACCTACAAAGCTTGGAACAAAAGTAGGGGAAGGAAAACTCTCAACAGGCTCCTCCACAAGATCATTTTTTAACATGTAAAAGCTTACCAATACAGAAGTGAATATGGCTGTCGCGGTAAGGCTGAAATATAGTTATTCCACCTTGAAGCATTCATGAGACTTGCCTCGCTGATGAGATAAGTTGCAAGTAATGGCCAATCTGGAACATTATACCGTTTTAACACCTTACCGGCCTCACCGCAGCTCCACTCCTGACATAAGCAAACACAAAGCAGGTAACTCTAATTTATAAACTGTGAAACAATGTATATCCCTAACAGAAAAGTAAAATGACCCAAACAACCAACTGTCCCAAATGCAAGATATCCAACTGTTCTTAGCAGTAGTTAATTCACTTAATCAAACAATTCGCCAGTCAAAGCCTTTAGAACAGGCATTTCAGCGGTATTTGAATCTTATGCCCTAAAAAGATAATTGCAGGAAAAAAACAAATGTTTGTAGCCCAAGACATTCATATTTTATTTAATATGCTGGGTATAGAATGAAGCCTCAGGTAGATAAGAAGAAACTTAAGTGCTAATATGTGAATACAATACTGCAAGACAGCATGCAGATTGACAAGTAATTCATCTCATGCAAAAACTATACAAAGGTCAAAAAAAGAGTGAGGATAGTCTTCCCTCATCAACAACAGATTACTGAAAACTCGGCTTAAATCTTCTCTATTTGATGATCTACTCAAGATATCGCAAGCTTGGATGATCTTTTTGAGATAGATGTTGTAACATAAAACTAGAACTAAGCTTAGGTGGCCATCATCAAGTTTACGTGTGGACACACTCTCAGTTTGCTACCCTTGTCCTAATTCTCCTTTTCCGAATTCTAACATTGATACTGAAAAATTGAATTGGTTACAGGTAGATGGGGGAGATACTCAAAGCTTGTTATAGGGCTCACCAAAGCCAAGTAGAGAAAAAATTGTCGAATTCTGTGGATTTATGATAATGATTAAATCACAAAATGATAAGAATATAAAATCTTGTCCATAATGTTTAATTAGGAAATACATCCTATCCATATCCCTTCCTTTCTCCACCATCATAGCTATTCTAAAATTTGATTTCATCAAATTGATAGCATCATTTTCTTTTTAGCTTTTTGTTGAGGAGGCATATCCCTTGAAATGCAAGAAATCTTCAATTAACCTCATCCTTCCATAGATTCCCAAAATTTCCAGTGAATTAAAAAATCCAAGTCCATAAACAAGAATACACTTACAGAATCGGCTGTGATAAAGAGTGAAGGAGGCACAAATAGGAGCTTCTCGCCCTTGCGTATATTCTTGAGAGCAACAAGGCCCCTCTCTCCTACGTCCACTCTCTGTATACCCATTTTTTGGGGAGGCAACCCCGATTCCGACAGCCATTCCTGCAACGCCGAGGCGTTTTCAAGTGAGTCGATATCGCATCCCCATGGAATGCTGTTGTCCGGGGTGGTTTTGGTGGCAGTTTCAGTGGTGGAAAGTGAGCAGCGAACATTGTGAAATGTCGTCTTGTTTCTTTTAAAAATCAAAGGGGAATAGTACTGATTCAAGTTTGGATATGGGTTTTGAGAAAGAGTGGGTATGAAGGCGGTTTGTAGGATTCCTGAAGCTTCTGCCATGGATGAGATTTAACCTTATCTGCTTAAATGGCCGAAGCGAGAAGTAAAAGACTGGTAGTTTTGACGGTTGGCACTTATGACGCCACTTGTATTTATTTATCGGACATGGGAAGTTTTTTCAATTTTAACAACAACATAAACTTGTAGGACTCGTTTGGAAAAGCTTAAAAATTTTCTAACTTGAATCAAAGTCGATAATTAATTTTAATCACACATTTCCGCAATTTTCATCATCTTTTTAGATACAATTTATCATTTTTTTATCAAAATATGCTAAAACTTTGAGGAACAAAATCCAAACCCAGTCCATCTGTTAGTTCTATCTCAACTTATTGTATGGAATCATTTCATAAGGTGAGTGTCCAAACAGGTTTCTAACCCATATATTTTGTTTGTGTGACAGACGTACGGTAGGTGAAACAAGTAATTACAGCCTCAAGATTGAAATAAAAATTATTCCATTTAAATTAGTCTGATTTTCGGCACAAGTGTAATGTGTCACTGGTACAACTTCTGGAGCTCATCTTTAAACCTCGTCTTCAGTTGCTCCCTCTTTAACTTGAGAGCTGCAGTAACCAACCCAGATTCTGGAGTCCAGGGCTCAGCCAACAACTTTATCTTTGTAGGAGTTTCAAACTTGTCGAGTTTCGCTGCTTTTGCCGTCTGCATAATATGAGTAAATGTCAAATATATTCACAGGCTGAAACATAATTGCTTCATCATGAGAGATAAAATCGCAGAGTTCTCGAAACTATTTGATATTCTAACGCTACAAGATTATGTCCTATCGTCCAATACTTGGAAACACAAGTCCCCACTCCTTCTCGGGACTCCTTAAAAGGCCTGTGCAGAGTTGTGATGAGAGGGAAAAGATAAAGATTAGTTACTATATATGAACAGAAGAAATAACGTTCCCACTTCTCAGTGACCCAGTCTAAAGCACAGAAATGCTCCAGTCAGCCCAATTACTTTTATTTTTCTTCCTGTTCAATTTCTCACCATAGAGAGGAAATATATCAAAGGGATTAATTTCATGTTATCTACAAGTCAACGGAAATGTAAGATAATTAATTATTTTCACAATACATCTTCCTCGTAGGCGGGTAAGAAATAAACCTTGGATAGTGATTGCTGGACCTCATTAGTAGCTTCTGGGTTTTCGCACAGCTCGGATAAGTCTTTGAATTTGATTCCAGCTTCACGGGCCCATCCCTCCAGGACCTGATGTGAAGGGACAATAAGGGCTACACAGAAGTTGTGGAAAGGGTCTGCATAGACCATGATGTTATCTATGTAATTGTTTGATGCAAGTGCAGCCTCAACCTGCAATTCAGCATCACATCTTAGCCAAGTACAACTTTACCCTGACATACACATTTACAGTGGGCGAGTTTGGGTAACATAGATAAACACATGGAAGTAAATATATGGCGAACTACATGTCTAATAAACTACAATCAGATTATCTATGCCCCAGTTAAACTTGTAACAAGTTACAACTATTAATTCAAAAACTATACACATACCTTTCCCAGTGAGATGTATTCCCCATGTTGAAGCTTAACAATATCTTTTTTCCTATCAATAATCTCAAGGCATCCATCAGGATGAAACCTTCCAATATCACCAGTGTAGAACCAGCGCATGCCTTCCTCATCAACCTGTATTAGAGAAGTATAACACTAAAATTAGGATACAACATCGAATGTCAGGTTGCTAATCACTAATTAGAACAATGCGCACCTTGTACACCTCTTTAGTTTTGGAATCACTATTCAAGTAGCCAGCCGTCACACTGTACCCACCAACAACCACCTCTCCTCGGGCCATTGGTTTGTCAGATATTGTGTAACCACCTTCTTCCCAAGACACAAGCTGCAGCAACAAGATCAAGAAATTATATCTAAAATGGAGGCCAGACTGAAACAGAAAACCACCGTCTAGGTGTACCAGAAATAAAGACAGTAAGCATTTGCTTTTTAATTTTATTTTCCTTATCAAATCTTCTTTGGTAACATTTGTTCAGATAAATGCTCTTCAAAAGGCAAAAATTATGAGTTCAATTAATTATCCCAACCAAAATATGCATCAATACAGGAATAGAACAACCCATGAAAGGAATGTCTTGTCTTCTATAACCTGCAACCATTTACATGTTCACATCAAAGCTAATAGTCACATAGAATGGCATTTATAGGCTCTTTGGATCTGAATGAATAATCGAAATTGAAACCCACAACTCTTAGTTTCTGAAGCAAGTGCTCTTAGGACCACATTTAGAATGAGGCCGAGGGAGGAGTAACTGATTCTAGATTCCTCTCACAGGTTTTTTTTTTTCTCATTTCTTATGTATGTAGAGAGCGTAAAGGTGCTTAAGATTGATCTTTTCTAAAACGCAAGACAAGGCTATTGCAGAAATCCCGACAGAGATTACATGAGCTTTGATAAATAAAGAGATGATAGGTAGACATTTTCATAGGTCAAGCACACAAACCTATTTTCTTAAATAAAATGTCCCAGTTTAAGTCCTGTGGGGAAGAGGTAAATGCAAGGATGTTATCACTTTTTCATTGTTAACCTTCAATCTTGTCACAAAAGGGAATCACAGAACCTCACATCTCCCTCCACAAATGTGTTCAAGGTACTGATGTATGGCTATTGAATTTAAAACGATAACATTGATTTAGCAAGGTGTAATCTTGAAACAATAGTGCTAAGGAAGAGGCAGTCTTATAGAACCCCTCCAGTTGTGCCTCTGCTTTTGCACCATTTCTTATATCTGCAGGAAGTCCCTTAAGATAACACATCCAGTCCCATTTATTATGTTAATTTTGCAAGGACAAATCACAGATATGGTCCTGGCTTAAACTTGATAGGGCTTGACATTTTAGAGAAGCACTGTCTCTACCCCCCAGCGCCAACCTGTCTGCTCAACAGAGTATTGGTACATCAATCTGACATTGTGACTAAAAATAAAGATGGCTCAAGGAAAAAAAAAACTCGTTTGACTAGACAGCATATAAAATGATAATATTATTATTGCTTTGCATGTAAAAATAAGGCATTATTTCACATTCATAATTTGGTTTCAAAAATAAATCAAGTGTTAACATGCAGAGTACTAGGGTTCAGTTTCTTGTCATCGATGAATGAATTTGCAACAAACAAGCATTTTGAAAAAGTTTAACCCTATCATATCACATTTCAAAAGTATGGGGAACTTGAGAAATTGGATCAGATTAGGAGCTTGTTTGGAAGGGATTTTAATCCAATTAAAATTAAAAATATAACCGTTATTGAGTCCCACTCGTCTAATAAAAGTCAACAATAACGGCTAGTTTTTCAATTTTAATTCAATTTTAATCCCTCTCAAACAAGTTCTAGTTCAAGTACAATAGTATAAAATATGCGTAGAGCTAAAAGATCTTGTTGGAGGAGGGCCAGCTTAATTGTAGGTTGCTAAATTGAATTATAAACCAGTTTGAAATTTGGAACGAGTATTGAGATAAGAAACAAAAAAAATTGTAAGCCTAGTCCAATAAGAAAGTTAATACATCTAAAATAAATTTTATTTTCTGTTAAAATACGTTCTTCATGAACAGCTCCCAAAGAAATTACACATGAAATAGAAGACTGTTTATATAGGAAGAAGAAAATGTATTAGATTTCCATGGAATGAAATTGAAATATATTAGGTAATGGTTGCAAAATATATCACATGATTAAGCATAGGTCTTCAGTGTTACTCAAAATGTAGCATGTAATCCATTAAGAAATTGGAAAAAGAAAAAGAAGCAACACAACATATGGTCCCGAAACATATCCACTTTATTACAGGTAAGGCTATATGGCCATCTATTGACAATTAAATAATTTCTTATTGACTAGAAGAATTATACCTTAATGTAGCAACAAGGAAGAGGAGGACCAACACGCCCAACGGAAGTGTCGTCCCATTCAGAGAAAGCAGCTCCAGCACATGTTTCTGTAAGGCCATATCCTTGACCAATAGGGGCACTGCAGACCAAGGGAAGAGCTACTAATGTTAAAAGAGAATCAGTGATATGAGGATGAACTACTTATCCTTGTTAGCCACAGAAGTAGACCACCGTATAAGCTCTGGTGATTGCTTAGATCTAATTAGAGAATACAACTTGGAAACCAATATGCTTTACCATCAAGATTGCATAAAAATTACCCCATGCAAATGTTGATAAATCTTTGCGTATCTCCAGATAAAGGAGCTCCACCACAAAGCATAAATCTGATTTCTCCACCAAGAACAGAGCGTATCTTCTTAAAGATAATTATATCCCACAGTAGCTTCTCCAATCCCCACGCCCCAAACCAGCTCCCTCTAATAGCCACCAGTCGGCGATTGTAGGCTATGTTGAAAAGCTTTTTAGCAAAACCTCCTGTCTCATCAACCTAAAACACAAAAACAACAACAGAAGATAGTACTGTTGTCCATTTGAATTTTAAAGACCCGCTAACAAACTATGCTTCTGTAAAATTGAGTAACTAAGCCTGGAAAGGCAACTGGAAACCTTCTTCAGTACTCCATCTCGAACACGATCTAAGATAGCTGGAACGGCTGCCATCAGAGTGGGCTTCAACATGGAAGCATCTCCTTTGGTTCCTTTTTTTATTCTATTTGATGTGTCTGTCAGTGTCAATGCTGAGCCATAGCCAATTGCAGCACCTGCAGTTAACATAACAGTCTGCAGGAGCAGGACATCGTGAGAACTTAAAAGTCTTAAAACATCATCAGCATTAACCACACAAAAAAATTTCACTTGACATATTACCTCAGCAGCTAATTCTAACACATGAGCTAGGGGCAAGTATGCCAAATAGACATCCTTGCTCCCAATTCCTGGAATCACTGTCATAACTGCAGCTACAGTTGCTACAATGTTACCATGAGTTATCATGACACCCTACATATCATGTAGTGAACCATGTTAATTTTAACATCAAATGGCAAGCAGACTGATGAAGACGAGCTTAATCTACGCGTACAAGATGAATGTTCACTTGACATAAGAATAACAGAAAATTAGATGCAGAATACTGGTGACAATATATGCGTTCAAAAGTTGTAATTAACATATGGAAACCTAGAAAATTAATAAAATTCACTATTTTTGCATGAATGTTACTTTTCAGAAAGTACACCATTCGCTTTCCTAAGAGTACCTGGTCCTAATAAAATATCACGAAATCTCACCTAGACATCCTTATTAAAGTGAACCATAATATGTGATTGAACAATAAATGATTTTGTCAATTATTTTAGGCACTCTACGAGTCAGTCTTTGTACATCTCTATTGCTTACAGGTAAATGCACCGCGAGTTGGCATACAAAACTGCAACAGCTGATTCTATCAATTGTCAAGATCTGCCAAGCATGGTTCTAGAGTTCCACCAAAGACAAGTATCTACACATGCATGCAGCAAGCAAGAGGTGATATTAAATCTGTCTATGTGCTACACATGCATGCAGCAAGCAAGAGGTGATATTAAATCTGTCTATGTGCATACTGAAAATATCATAGAACCTTTGGGAGGCCTGTACTGCCACTTGTGTACATGATGACAGCAATATCTTCCTTGATTGGCAGCCTAGGAAGAACAGGATTATTTCTTCCGAGTTTTTCCACCTCTGAAAAAGAGGATATTCTCCAATTGCCAATATCATGGGCAACATCAGAACCACTGGAAGTGTCTTCATCATCAAAATAAATTACATTGCTGATGGTTTTCAGGCTTGAACTTATTGCAGCTAACTTCTTAAATTGTTTGGAGTCACAAATCACAGTTGGAACTTGAGCCTGCCAAATACTTGAGAAACTGAGCAACTTTTTTGTTCATAATCATACTCATTCAGAAAGAGATAAAACAAATTGTGGAAAGCAAGAAAAGGGTAGTAAAGACACCCAAAAAAATGAACAAACATCTGGACAGTCGCTGGTTTGGTTGTTTAAATAATTAATTGTCCCACCTCATTTAATGAATGCACTAGGGCATCATCTCCCAAAGCAGCATAAATGGTAACCACAGTAATATTTTGCCGGAAGCAACCCTGAAACCGAAGAGCAAGTACAAGCAATGTCAATTGTCTCACGACAACTAAAATCAAAGGAATCAGAAGATGAAATATCTAAACCAAAACTTTCAATATTACCTCGAATGCAATCAACCACTCTGCCCGAGTTTCAGAAAAAATGGCAACGCGAGTATCAACATCGTGATTCAGGTTAACAAGACCAGATGCAAAGTTACAAGCACGATTAAATGCCTCTCCATAAGTTTCCCAATGGTAATCACCCAAGTGAAGTTTCTCAAATTTTCTTCCGTCGCTGGCTGTAACAAAGTCCTTACCGATTACCTTTCTCGTCCCAAGAAACCTTTCTTGGGAATTTCTTTTACAAGATTGTTCAAATAAAGAAGCCATAGTTGTGGCCCCTTCCCAAGGAACCTCAACCAATTTGACTGATCTAGCATTGCGCATAGCCAAACCAACCTCGACACCAACTTGAACAGGAACTCCCCTCTGTTTCAACTTTCTTTTTCCCGTAAGTACTGTGGAAAGAAGTATAGGTATGACAATGGCAACAATAACGGCAGCAATAATACCATATAATCCATAATCTTGCAAAATGGAAAATGAACTGCTATCTCCCATGTTCTCCATTGTGTTTGTGGTACTTCCTTGTGAATCAACCATCGTGTATTAAGTAGGCAATTATGACTTGATGATTAACATTCCTCTGCAAGAAAGTTAATCAGATAATCAATACACAATAGACGAGCGGTGACATTAAGTAAATTGCAATTTAACATATCACAAAAATAGAAAAGTAAAGAAAACATTATCCGTATGTTATTTTCCTTGATATGTTCATAGAAAATTAACCACAAACATAGCACGAAACCCATATAATACAACAAATGATCCGACATAACAATTTATTTTGAAAATGGCCATGTTGTCATATATGTCCTACAAGCAGTACACTCTCGACATAGAGTCACAGATTCTTGGTCCATAATTTCAAGGCAAGGCCAATTTTGGTATTCTTTGTTATGATGCTCCTAAAATAAAAAATAAAAATAAACACCAATCCACTCATAATAGTATGCCAATACACTCAAACATGCACAAAAGAAAAATATATTCATTGGATTTAGTAATCTCAGTGATTATCCCAAAATTAAACTATTCAAAATAAAAAAATAAAAATAAAAAAAATAGCAGGGTTACACAAATAGAGATCAAATTGTATAAAATCATAATAAAAATATTAATAAACACGAATCATTTTACAAATTTAAACAAATGACATAACACGGAGTTGCTTTCTTATAAGCGAAACAACTTTGAAGATCTCATAAACGCAATTATACCTTTGAATGGAACGAAGCTTAGCGTCGATTTGAGGTTTTGTTTTTCCTCTGATTTGCAATTCAATCGTCCAAATTGAAGGAATTTTATGGAAGATCACACTTTCCAGAAAATGTATACACTTGTCTAATTCCTTACTTTACTTGTGAAATTTTACAGAACACACCCGTGTATTCCTTATATTATTATAAAAAAACCCATGAATATATTTATCATTTCATTTTTGTCCACCATCCCATATAGCATTATTCTTTTATAAAATACATTATAATAATGCAATAAATAGAGTGAAAAGGTGAATATCAATGAAATGGCAAAACTTTACAAGCGATTCCATATTCTTCATCTAAAAGCTCTTTTGACCTGACAAAGACTTCAAAAAAATTATTCACCCGTTCAAAATCATTTTATTAATTTCAAAAGTAAATTTTAATTTTTCAAAAATCATGATATACGGATTCTAAATTTATAATCTTTGCCAATTGCAATTATCAAAGCTTTTTAAGGTAATTTATAAATGTATTTAGAGCATCTCCAATAGGACACTATATTTGCACCAAATATAGTGTATAGTCTCATTCAAGGGTACCTCAAATATAGTGTAAAAGATAGTGTAATGAATAATGTTACATCATTCATTTACACCAAATATAAGAATTTTGATCTAACCTCATTTTACCCTTGCTCACACTTTACAAATTTTTTTTATTCCATCTATATCTTTATTAGTATTTTAATATTAATAAATTTTAATTAATTCATAATTATTTTAATATGATGGGTTTTTTATTTAATATTTATTTTTAAATTCAAATTAATGAGTAATAATTATTTCAACAATAAATTAAAATTGTTCATTTTAAAGTCAAAAATTACAAATTTGATAATTAATATATCAACACTAGAACAATTTATTTAAATATAATTTATAATTTAACGATTTTTTTAATATTAGTACTAGAACAAATTTTTTAATATAATTTGTAAAATAAAATAATTCAGAATAAAATTTGGTATAAAACAATATAGCGTAGACTATTGGAGACTTAGGATGAACTGGCTTTTGTTGACATATAGCCCCTAATTGGTGGAGGTTAAGATCAATTTTTTAGTAAATTTTGATAAAAATTGATAAAATGTATGATTAAAAATTTTTGAAGTCCATGAAATACGTGGTTAAAATTAATTGTTGATTAAGATTTAAATTAAAATTTCTACAAATATGGACATAATAATATATTTTTATTTATTACAATATTTTCGTGATACGAAACAGATCAAATGCTCATCGGGAAATGTGCGGACTATGCCAAACCCCAATCACAGAATTAAGCACACCAACTCGCCCACAGTCATGCTATAGGTATAGAAAATGTTTGACAAAATTTGTACAGAATAATACTCGACAATTTTCTATTGATTTTTAACAATGACAGAAAATGCACCATAAATGTGCTGGCAGCACGTGCATGATTTTTGTGAATAATTCCCCATATTCTGAGAATTATTCACTCACTTTACAGTTGGTCCTTGACGTATAGAGTTTTAACATCTATAATATGATATCGACCTAGTCTTTTTGCAAGAGTTGTTCACAATCATTTAAAACTTGTGTGCAACCAGACCTCGTGAATGATTTTTGTCAAAACGGAACTATATGCATGCCATAATTTTTGTTAACTACAACATATTATAATTATAATGAAACTTCTCAAATTTTGTTCATTCTTGCACTTATATATTCAACTTTTTATCCTACTTTTATCTTTAACCTTCAATTAGTTAACACATCTTGTTCTTCTTAACAAGTTTTGCCCAAATATTACGTTAATACTGGAAAATATTTTGTAGAACTTACATATTTATCGTTTATCTTGGCTATTTAAAAATACAAAGGGCAAGGAAGTCTTTTTGCTCCATTCTCATGGATCTTTCGATAATTATAACGAGATGGGGTAATTAAAATAAGATTGAAATTAAAATACAACAAGAAAAAAATTTGAGACTCAAGTGCAAATAGGAATAAAAGTTATGGACCTTCATTTTAATTATAATGTGGGTTAGTTAATAAAAACTATGGTGTGAATATAATTAATCATTAAAAAATGTGTCAAGTGACAATTTTTACAAGACATTGTATATTTTAATTTCAATAAAACGAAAGCCAAAAACTATAAGTCCCGTTCTCTTTGCTGTTTTGGGATCGTTTTCTATTTTCGATTTTTCAAAACATTGAAAATGCATTCTCTTTTTCATTTTCAAAAATTCAGTTTTTGAAAAAAAAAAAAAATTATACTGAAAAAGACGTTTTGAGCGTTTCCTTCCCAAAACCCACTCACCGAATCAAAACGCGGAAAACGCCTCATTTTCCATATCTCCCATAATTCTTCCTCTTTCTTGAGCCTCAATTTCTTCTTCATTTTCTAGGTTTCAATTTTCTATCAATTACTTCCTTAAAGAAGGAAATGGGGATGAAAATATAGAGTTTAAATTGAAGTTTTTTTCAAGGTTGATTGTTGTTTACTGGATGCTATTTTGACTTTCATCGAGAGAAAATCAAGTATAAGAACAATGGCGGTGGGTCGGAGGGTGAAGAACAGCCAATCAACGATACAAGGATCGCGAATTGCGATCGTAATTGGGATTGGAGTTTTATCCGGATGCATTTTCGCCTTCTTCTTCCCGAATGGACTCCTCTCATCTAATCCGCATCGCTGTCTTTCCAAATCTAGTCTCGAGGTACCCATTCTCTCCATTCTTCTATTTAACTATTTCTACATTATTCTTCTCATGCGTAACTACTTAAAAACTAATTCTGCTTATGCATCTTCTAGAGAAGTTCTTATTCCAGGATTTTAAAATTATTAATGAGCTGCAATATTTGGGTTTCATTTATTTTACAGTGATTTATGTAAATTGAAGGAGCAGTTAACTAAATTTTTAATTTAAGCTTTTCTTTTGTTCCATGCTTATGTTTCTTAGGTTTCAGCTGTAAGAGCAACGTCAAAGATTTGACTTTGATGTAATTCTCATTTTCTTGCAAAATTGTAATTATTCTGGACATATCAGTCCCACAAGAAACAGATAGCGAAAGAGAAGGAAGATATATTTGTGTTTTTTAACAAAATATGTAGTGTATACACGGTAAAATAATGGTTTTTGTATAGCTAGAGTTGATGAATAACTTTTGTGTCAATGTAATTTATTTCATTGTCAAACTCTTTTAGATATACTTTAGCTGTTGTTGATTTGGTACATAGGAGGATTTGTCCTCATGTGAATTTTCGGAAAAAATAAACATGTTGAAAGCAAGATGCTCTAGATTCATTCCCAGATGGTTCAGAATAGCAGTGCAAATGTGAAGATCGTGTTGATGGAAATTTTCAGGGCAAGTTTTTCTTGTTTAATTTCATAGTATATGGGTAGTCTTGACAATATTAGGAAACTGGTGTGATTGGCTTGCTTGGGGTTAGTATTTTTGTTCCTTAAATAGCTTGAGCCATTTTTTTTGTTCAACCTTGTTAAGTTGTTCTCTAATATTGTTCAATTGCATTCTTTTTTACAGGAAAAAGTATGTGAATGGATTTTTAAGAGCAAAAACCAAGAAAAGTTTCATGAGGGATTCATGTTTCCCTTTCTTGTAACTGAGGGACTGAATGTTTTGCTTGAGAAAGACTCGCCAACGTATTTGGGTATGTTCTAAATGTGCAATCTTTACTCTACATATTCCGATACAATCCTTTTCTATGCTATTGTGTAGATTAGAATACCGTAGAAGTGAAGAATCAAGAATGAGCATCGGAGAGCTCAAAATGCAGACGAAGAAGTTGATTATTACTTGAAGATGGTGAATCCATGTAGGAGTCTATGGTTCCGCTTTCGTGAACTTTCGAGCAACTGCAGAAAAATATTGCTTGAAATGTGGAGTTCAAATGGAAGTAGGGAGGGGAGGGAGAAGTTAAGGGAGAGGCAAAGGGAATAGAGAATGTGCAAAGATTTTGACTCGATTCTTTTATTCATTTAATATTCTTCTAGATTCTAACTATATTCTTCTTCTTTCTTAGTAGTTTCATTGTTACTTAGAAATGTCTTTAGAAGTTGTAATGTTATTTATTATCATTGATGATAGTCATCGTATTTAGATGATCAAAATTGTATTTTGCAAGAATTGTGAGAAATAACATGAACTCAATGATTGATTTCAAAATATTTATTATCATATCCACATAAAATTAGTGCTCTTTCTTTGGAAACTTGATTAGGTTAGACTATAATTTGATGCTAGTTAATTCTTGTCACAAATTATGTACAAGAACTTTAATTCTTGTCACAAGTTACGTACATGGACTTGCCAAATTTAATTTAGGTCGTATTTTTTATATACGGAAAAAATATTTTAAGATTCACCAATTTCATAATTTATTCGTTATTTAATACTATATTAATATTAAACTATTAAAATTTATTAAATAACCAGATTTGTTGAATAAAATATTATAAAAAAAAATTCTCAAAATTTCAAAGTAAACGCGTTTTCCATTTTTATGTTTTGAGAAACAGTTTTTCAAAATGACAAAAGAACGCATTTTCAGAAATTTCAAAACAAATACTCAAAATACAAAACGAATTCAAAATACAAAACTGAAATACGAAGAGAACGTCCCCTAAGTGATTCGTGATGGATTTCACTAGGGATTAGGTTTGTCACATGAAGTGGTTGCATGTTGCGGAGAAGAGTTTGAAGGGGTGGACGATGATAGTTGGTTCATCTGTAGATGGTTGGGAGATTAAGGCCCGTTTGGTAGAGGTTAAATTGTGGAATATGTAGTCTAAAAGTTATGAATCTTACGTGATTAAAATTAATTGTTGATTTTAATTTAAATTTTAATTAGAAATTTTAGCATTACCAAACAGGGCCTAAAATTGATGATGGGGTTCAGTTGTATAGTTTGGGATAATGATTACAATTTTTTTTTAGGATCATCGAGGAATCATGGAAAGTACGGGAAAGGTCATTCCCGATCAAACCTATTGCCACTCTTATTTTCGTCGGGGTTGATAGTGATGGTTATGGTAGCATGACATATGATCAGAATGTGGTGGTTGTGCAATTGAAGATGGGATTAGAAAAATTTTAACTTTATGCAGTTAAAAATAATTATAAGCATTTAATTTTCAAACATCTACCAAACAAGCTCTAAATCTCCTTATTTTCCACTCTCGTAGTCGTAGCACCAATTATATACAATCATGTTATATGTACATTATTTTTGACATTGTATCATGTGACGGCACATAATTGAACATTTTTTTTTAATAAACTCCAATGGATTGTTTTTGATATGTGGAAAAAATATTTCAAAATCTAACAACTTCAAAATTAACATTATTAATTAATACTATATTAACATTAAACTATTAAAATTTATTGAATAATCAGATTTTTTGAATAAAATATTATAAAAAAAATTCTCAAAATTTCAAAGTAAACGCGTTGTCCATTTTTATGTTTTGAGAAACAGTTTTTCAAAATGACAAAAGAACGCATTTTCAGAAATTTCAAAATAAATACTCAAAACACAAAACGAATTCAAAATACAAAACTGAAACACGAAGAGAACGACCCCCAAGTGATTCGTGATGGATTTCACCAGGGATTAGGTTTGTCACATGAAGTGGTTGCATGTTGCGGAGAAGAGTTTGGAGGGGTGGACGATGATAGTTGGTTCATCTGTAGATGGTTGGGAGATTAAGGCCCGTTTGGTAGAGGTTAAATTGTGGAATGTGTAGTCTAAAAGTTACGAATCCTACGCGATTAAAATTAATTGTTGACTTTAATTTAAATTTTAATTAGAAATTTTAGCATTACCAAACAAGGCCTAAAAGTGATGATGGGGTTCAGTTGTATAGTTTGGGGTAATGATTACAACTTTTTTTTAAGATCATCGAGGAATCATGGAAAGTACGGGAATGGTCATTCCCGATCAAACCTATCGCCGCTCTTATTTTCGTCGGGGTTGATAGTGATAATGATGGTTATGGTAGCATTACATATGATCGGAATGCGGTGGTTGTGCAATTGAAGATGGGATTAGAAAAATTTTAACTTTATGCAGTTAAAAATAATTATAAGAATTTAATTTTCAAACATCTACCAAACAAACTCTAAATCTCCTTATCTTCCACTCTCGTAGTCGTAGCTCCAATTATATACTATCATGTTACATGTACATTTTTTTTATATTATTTTTGACATTGTATCATGTGACGAGAGATAATTCAACATTTTTTTTTTAATAAACTCCAATGGAACTTATACAAAAGATGTCGATCCCCACTGTATACTTAACATTGTTCAAGTTCGTATGATAGTGCAGTCGAATTGAAAGAGAATCAGAGGGAGAGATTGAAAATGTTGATGAATCCAAGCGCTCCAACACTCTGGCTTTGATCATCAATCTGCTTTTCCAGCATACACCATCGGCAACGGACGAGTTTTGTACTACTTCACTATCACAGCAAGATCTGTAAAACCTAGCAGTTTTTTCCATTTTATTGACTTATTTCTCCTGTTTCTGAATTTCCTTTTCATTCGTTTGCAAATACCCATTTTCTCAAGCGTTTTAGTTTCAATTTTCGGTTTAGGCCTAAAGAAGGGAAGACTGCAGCATTTGGTAAGGATTACAGAAACTTTGTGCTCGCGAGGGAGAATTTTACACGTAGTGTTGTTGGGATTGGGGACACTATCATTCAGGGGTGAATGCGATGAAGAGGAAAAGGAAGGGTAAAGACATGGAGAAGGGGGTGTCAGAGATGATTGGGGAAACAGCGAATGTTTCGCTTCCCATGGTGGAATTGGACGGCTCGTTTAGTCGTGGAAAATATTTGATTTATTCTGGTGGTGGTGATAGGTGCAAAAGCATGCATCAGTTCTTGTACAGTTTCAATTATATGTTGGGTGAAGCTCAGTACTTAAACCGGACTTTGATTTTGGATTCGACTATATGTCTGCCTTCAATCTACACATCGTCCGGTCAAGATGAGGATGGTAAAGATTTCAGGTTTTACTTTGACATTGAGCATCTGAAGGATTGAGCTCCAGTGCTGGATCAGGTTCAATTCTGGTCAGACTGGAACAAAAGGCTGACTCTTCATCTTGTGGAAGATTATAGAATTACGCCAATGGAACTAGCTGGAGTGGAAGATCCTTTGATTATGAGTAAGTTTGGGACTGTGGAGCCTGATAATTACTGGTACAGAGTGTATGAAGGTGAGACAGACTAGATTATTTCCCGGGCATGGCATATGGTATGGAAGTCGAGAAGTTTGTTGGATGTGGCATCTGCTATTTCTATGAGAATGGAATGGGATTTCGATGCCAGTCATGTCGAGAGAAGAGATAAGGTGAGGAATGAGGAGCATTGGCCTAATCTTGATAGAGATACTCCACCAGAAGCGCTTCTGGTGACTTTGCAAGACAAAATTGAAGCAGGAAGGAACTTGTATATCTCAACAAATGAGCCAAACACATCCCGTTTGACCCTTTAAAAGCCGGTACTCACTCATTTTCTTGATGAATTTAAAGATCTCTGGGATGAAAACAGTGACTGGTATGCAGAGATGAAAAAGCACAATACTGGAAAACCAGTTTAACTAGATAGCTACATGAGGATGTCTATCGAAGATGAAGTGTTGTTGAGGGCGAAAAGAAGATTGAAACTTTCAATGATCTCACCCAAGACTGCAAGGATGGTATTAATACATGCACATCTGCCAGCTAATTCATATACAGAATGGCTCAGATTTCCGTGTACTCTTTATGTTTTGGTTCTCAATTATTTTGAGAACTAAGAAATGTATTCTCCCGTGTTTGTTATCTAAATGCAATATGCAGATTCTGTTTCAATGTATTTGAATTTTAGCATATGAAATGAAAGTAGATGTCGCTTTGCAATATAAACGAAAGTACAAAATTATGTTGAAGGAATGTGTCCATTAATTTCGAACAAGAAAAAGAGGGCGATATTGAGTTTGAACTGGTACAGAGTACCCAAAAAAGATGCTTAAACCTACTGCCAATCGTGAATATCCTAGATTAAGACAGTCATCCGACGGAATCATGGTGAAATAAAGAAGTTGCACATCTCAATTACATCAGACAATGGATGATTTTCATAAAGCCTGAACTCAACTAAAATCTCAGGTACATGGATATCAGGAGCTTTTCACACTATTTACAACAGCTATATTGGTCACCAAAGACCCGTCACTACAAGAGGACGCAAACAGAACAGCGAAACAAAGGCATCAAATCACATGAACCGATGCATACATTCTTATAGATATTCTGTACACACTATGCAGAAAACCAGGACTTAACAAGTGATCTGTGAGGACTCACATTGGACAGGCATCTTCTTCGACTTCTTGTTGAGGAACCATGTTATTTCTACAAAGAGGGCACGTGATGTTCCAATAGTTCAACCACTTCTCAAGACAAGACTTGTGGAAAACATGACCGCAAGACAGTTGGTTAACCTCTGCATTTGGCTTGAATTCAGCCAAGCAGACCGAGCACTCTTGTTTTGGACAGTCAAATGCGAACGTTGAATCATAGCGTATCGCCGGTGTTCGGCTACGGAACTCATCAATGTACGATTCTGACGGACTTTTATGACATTGAACTGAGTCTAAATGCTCCATGGAGAATTCTTCCCATGATGCAATGCGGATGCCAATGACAAGAAGCAGAGACCGAACAATCTCCTTCATAATTGAAATGGATATAGCTGTGTTTGCCAGAATTACACAGAGTACACCCGCATCAGCTGCACTGGAATATGTTGAAAGACCCATTTTGGACGTGGAACCTAATGGACAATTTCGATATATGGACTCAGCCGACAAGAGAATATAAAAAAATAAAGCAAGACTAATAGTCTCAGCACAGACTATCAGTTTGATACATGTTCGTGTTATGCCAAACATAATCTATTCTGGCAGAATAAAACTTGAAAGATAACAAGGAACGAAAATAAACCAATCTTCTCACTACTTGCTTTGTTTGTCTTTTGGGACGATAAAAGAAAACTGATCCTTCAACACTTCCAAGGACCCTTTTCCCCTTTTTATCCCTCCTTTTCTATGCAGCAAATCAAATTAGTGAATATATCTATAAAAGAAAGTTTTGAGACTTGATTCCTGGATGGAAAGCTAGTACATCCTTTAGGAAGAGAAATATAAAATGCACTGGCAAACATGACTCTTCTGTTTTTTATACTGTTTTCTTGTTAATGTTATCGTGCTTCGTCAAAATGAGATAAGAGAAACTTGAAGAATTAACATGTGCTTGCATTCAAGTCATCACTAGCACAGGAAGCACATAGCTAAACATATCTTAATTGTCAGAAACGGATAAAAGTTAACATAATCAATAAGCAATTCTCTATGGCTTTTCGAGCTAAAATATTTAGTAGAATATATGCACAAATTACCTTGTGATGTCTATTAGTGTTGTTAAACTATGTAAACAATTACAATATTTCTACAGGAGCTCCGTGAAGAGGATCTGCATGCAAACAAAGCAATCAGGTTTAAACGATTGTGCAAACTTTAAATCAAATGGTATTCTGATGCTGGCTAAGACAGGTGATGATATTTTAGTAGGTAAATTAGACAACAGAACTTCAGCAAAGAAGACAGTCATTGTCCAAAACCCATTCTTCCATTTCTCTTTATTCTACAATTATTTATTCAAAAAACCTTGAAATTTAAGCCATGTGATGCACATAAATTATGCCCTTTTTTTCTGATACATCAAGAAAGAGGCCAAAGTTTTCAAGAAATTCTAGAAAATAGCTCTTGGAATTGAAATTTTGAATGGATCTTCCTCTGTATAACAGAAAAGAACTCTATAGAATTCATTGTGAAAACAGATAACTTTATCATCCATCTAAAATTAAAAACAATCGGTACATATATATGAATTCTGGGAAAACATAAAAAGGTCCTAAATTATATAATAAAACAAAAAAACTTGAAAATATGAGATCTGGGATACATAATAATGAATTGAAGCCCATCTACAAGTTCAACAAGTAAAACCCATATTTATTCCCAAAAGAGTATAATAAGAGAGACTTACAGATTGGATCAGCTCAGAAGTTAAAGTCCTAGCAAATCAGGAAATTTCAGGGGTGTAAAAAGGAGAAATTGGAAGGTGAAGAAGTGTTGACAACGGCGGATGATAATCGTCTTCAATCAAATTGATTTATGCAATCAAAATCTGCAGACCCCACCACAATTTTCACTTTCGTCCCACCATGTCTTTTGCTTGTAGTACACTGTACACCGTAAAAGTTTCCTTTTTCTGTCATTGTCTTTTTGGGAACTATTAACATCTTTCAGTTGTTCTAGCTTCATCCACTGGGCCGAACGAGTAGGGTCACAAAAACAGTGGTCGTCCTCCCCTTCCAACCAAGAACTACTTTGTTGGACAGTTCTATACATGTACCCACTCAAATCAAGATATAGAGCTCAACTCTATATAGAAGTATATGAATTATTCCCTGAGGATTAATTACAGAATTATTACAGGATGCTGTTACGTGTGTGTGTTTTTTTCCAATTTTGAATCTGTGTTGTTGATTTATTTCTGTATCTGCACATTTTTTTTACGAAATTATGCCAAATTTCACGACTCAATGACTGGGACATTTGACCGGGCGCCACCTCCAAGGCGAGGGCGCCGAGATATTTGGGCCCGGTCATTGAGCCGGGCTAGTGAAAATTTTCCGAATTAAAAAAAAGGCGGGACCCACACACAGAAAACTTCGGGCGCTTCCTCATTCCCTCATCATTTTTCCAAAGCAGGCAAACTCCGAACCAGGTTTCCTCACACACGGCAACTACACGGCTCGGATTCTAACTTGTAGGCTGACACTTCACAAGGTTGTGGTTAAGCAAAAGAAACAGACTATGTGACAGACTTACTCGGGTCCAAGGTGTCATTATTCGGGTTTTCATGTGTTGTGATTGGAATGGACAGACAATTATAAGATTTTTCACTAAAGTGCTGATGACCGAAAAAATTAGTAGCGGAGCCACAATCTTCATGTTTTGGTGAAAAAAAATTAAAATTTTAATAAGAATTTTCAAAAATTATAAAACATTGTGGGAGTGGTTGCCAGCCTTGCCCCAGAGAAAAATGAGAACATGTAAGAAAAACGATCTAAGTATGTATTAACCGTAGTTAAGAAAATCAGTAGAAAATAATTTTATTATAAATGAAATATAATCAACAATATAAAGGAAACAAAAATAATTTTTAATGAATTTTCAATAACAATGGCAAGGGAGAGGAAGGGGTGAACTCGTGCTACATTCGTGGAAAGTAGGTGTCCTTGCAACAGGAGGTCAGTATCGAGACAAGAGGCAAGAGGAGATGGAGGTAGGGATGTCAATGGACTCATTGGCTCAAGCGGTTCTGGCTTGATCCGAAAAAAGCCTCGTATCGAGCCCCATTTTGGTGCGTCAGCTCAAGCCATCCTATGTGGCTCGCCATTTTCAGCTCATGAGGAGTGGGAATGGCAACGGGGCTGGGCAACCTCCAAGCCCCGTTACCCGTTTAAAGCGGGCGGGGCAGGGCAGGGCGAGGCGAAGCCCTTGCCCCATTTACTACCTCATTTAATTTTTTTTTTTTTCAATTTTTGATAATTCATTTTATTGTCTCCATTCATTAGAGTGAGACAATAATATATTTTTTTAATTTTTATTTATTTTCAAAAGTTAAATTATTCAAATATATTTGGTAAATTAAGGTTTTTATTATTTGTCATATT